ATATGTGTTAAATCACGTTACATGTAAAATTTACATTATTCATACTTCATTACATAATCTGTTATGATTCCTTTGTTACTTTATCATTACGTGTTTGTACTTCCGCAAACATACAGTTATTGTTTGCAAATGTCTATATTTTATACCTTACTGACTTTTAGTTCTCTTATTGGTTACTATGAAAGAAAGAACAAAACCAAGATTATGCCTTACTGACTTTTAGTTCTCTTGTAAGTTTTGAAGAGAAATTGAAATGTTTAGAATTGAGAATTATTAACGGGACGGGAAAAGTGACACCAGTGAAGTATGACACACCCACGAAAATACACGTCTTCTTTTGAAAATTATTAAATTTTGTAATTTTCAGCCACAATCTATTAACGGGAATTGTTTGTATCATAAACAAAGTTTGCTCGAAATTGCATTATAAGTCATTATTGAGTTATTGACTTCACTTTGTCTCTTTTCCTTTATCTCTAAAAATACTAACTTTTATTTGTATATTTCTTTTGTATGTNCATGCTCGTTAAACGTTAATAATAACACGTTATCAGAGTATGCATTACTCTCTCCAAGAATGCAAAACTAGTAAACTACACAAATTTTAAGCTTTGATGTTATGGAACATTTTGTGTTTATGGTAACTCAGCAATATAACAATCCTCTGCACCAAGTTATTCCATATAAAGATTGTTTTGATATATTTTCATTTATAACAGTATTAGATCTTTAAAATCTTTGTAAATTGTCTATTGCTTATCATTTATATAAAGTTTCTGGACAGTCTTACGATTCCATATACTCAATACCTCGCTGGAAGTTCGATTTAAAACTACATTGATTGTTTACATAGAATGATTATTGACGATTTTAACAACATTATTTATTTCGATTACATAAATTGTTGTCAGTCGCAACAGTGTTAATTGATCCCGTCGCTCATAATCTTATATTTATTCATATATATTTTTTTTGTATGTCAACCCATGGGAAGCAAATATGGATATTCCACAAAGCAAACTTGGATCAAAGTTCAATTGTAAAAATATTTGTTTAGTTGATTCATGTACGACACATATAATATTCAAAGAGAAGAAATATTTCTCTCATTTAAGTATGTGTAAGGCAGATGTTACTACAATTTCTGGTAGTAGTAAATTAATTGAAGGCTCTGGAAGAGCTACTATAACTCTGCCTAAGGGAACAATACTTATCATAGAGAATGCAATGTTCTCCTCCAAGTCCAAGAGGAACTTGTTGAGTTTTAAAGATATCCGCAGAAATGGATATCATATTGAGACAATAGATGAGAATAATCTTGAATATCTCATCATTACCAAAAATATCTCTGGCCAGAAAAGGGCTATTGAGAAGTTCCCATCTTTGTCTTGTGGCCTGTATTGGACAAGAATTAGTGCAATTGAGGCACATTCTATTGTAAACCAAAAGGTTACCGATTCCAATACTTTTGTACTTTGGCATGATCGATTGGGACACCCAGGATCAATTATGATGAGACGAATTATAGAAAACTCAAATGGGCATCCATTAAAGAATTTAAAGATTCTTTTAAATGATGAATTTTCTTGCACTTCTTGTTATCAAGGCAAGTTAATTATTAGACCATCACCAACAAAGGTTGGAATTGAGTCCCCTGCGGTTTTGGAACGTATACAAGGGGACATTTGTGGACCTATTCACCCACCTAGTGGGTCGTTTAGATATTTTATGGTCTTAATAGACGCATCTTCTAGATGGTCCCATGCGTGCCTATTGTCATCTTGCAACCTCGCGTTTGCAAAATTAATGGCACAAATAATTCGATTACGGGCATAATTTCCCGATAATCCAATTAAGTCTATTAGACTTGATAATGCTGCTGAGTTTTCATCTCAAGCATTTAATGATTATTGCTTATCAATTGGGATAAAAGTGGAACATCCTGTAGCTCATGTTTACACTCAAAATGGTCTTGCAGAGTCTTTAATTAAACGTCTGCAATTGATAGCAAGACCGTTACTCATGAAAACGAGGCTGCCCACTTCTGTTTGGGGTCACGCCATTTTGCATTCAGCAAAGCTAGTTCGTCTCAGACCGACAAATTATCATAAATATTCCCCGTTGCAATTAATTTTGGGTCATGAACCTTATATATCCCATTTAAGAATTTTTGAATGCGCAGTATATGTGCCTGTAGCACCACCATATCGCACCAAAATGGGTCTGCAAAGAAGGTTAGGAATATATGTTGGGTTTGAATCGCCCTCCATTATTCGCTACCTCGAAACATTGACGGGGGATTTGTTTACTGCACGATTTGGAGACTGTCGATTCGATGAGACACTTTTTCCAAAATTGGGGGGAGAAGTTGGTGAAACCAAACGGGAAATTTTATGGAAAAGTCCATCATTATCTCATCTTGATCCACGTGCCTCTGCTTGTGAAAAAGAGGTGCAAAAGATTATCCATTTGCAGAGAATAGCAAATCAAATGCCAGATGCATTTACGGATATGAAAAGGATAACAAAATCACATATCCCTGCGGAGAATGTTCCAATCCGTATTGATGTCCCTATTGGACAATCTTCTAGTGTCATAGCTAATGAGTCAAAAGCACGCCTTAAACGTGGCAGACCATTAGGTTCCAAAGATCGAAATCCTAGAAAAAGGAAAACAAATGATCAAAATGACACTACGAAAGAATCTCATGAAGAAATCCACGATTTAATAAATTCTAAAATTCATAAAGAATCCACTGAGCCCGAGACTCAAGAAAATAAGGAACTATCAATAAATCCAATCGATATTGAGACAAATTTGAATCGAGTGGATATAATAGTGGATTATGTCTTTGCATATAATGTTGCATCTAGCATTATGCAAGAAAGTGAGGATCTTGAACCTCAATCTGTTGGAGAATGTCGACAAAGACTTGATTGGCTAAAATGGCAAGAAGCAATCCAATTAGAGTTGAAGTCGCTGGCAAAATGTGAAGTTTTTGGGCCTGTAGTCCAAACACCTAATGGTGTTAAGCCTGTTGGCTATAAATGGGTCTTTGTACGCAAGAGAAATGAGAAAAACGAGGTACAAAGATATAAGGCACGCCTTGTTGCACAAGGATTTTCACAAAGGCCTGGTGTCGATTATGAAGAGACATATTTACCCGTTATGGATGCTATAACGTTCCGTTATCCCATTAGTTTTGCTGTCCATGAAAAGCTTGACATGCATTTAATGGATGTGGTTACCGCCTACCTTTATGGCTCACTTGATAATGAGATATACATGAAAATTCCCGATGGATTTAAAATGCCAAACGCACATAATTCAAAGTCTCGGGAAATGTTTTCAATCAAATTGCAAAGATCTTTGATGGCTAAAGCAATCAGGACGAATGTGGTATAATCGTCTTAGTGAGTATTTATTAAGGAAGGCTATATAAATGATGCCATTTGCCCATGTTTTTATAAAGAAAACAACATCGGAATTTGTTGTACTTGCCGTATATGTTGATGACATAAACCTTATTGGAACTCCTATAGAACTCCAAAAGGCAATTGATTATTTAAAGAAGGAATTCGAGATGAAAGATCTCGGAAAGACAAAATTATGTCTTGGTTTGAAAATTGAACATTTGGCAAACGGAATTTTTGTTCATCAATCTACCTACATAGAAAAGGTACTGAAACGGTTTTACATGGATGGAGCACATCCATTAAGTACTCCGATGGTTGTTCGATCACTTGATGTGAATAAGGATCCATTCCAACCTCAAGAAGAGAATGAAGAGCTACTTGGTCCTGAAGTACCATATCTTAGTGCAATTGGTGCACTAATGTATCTTGCTAATACAACAAGGCCCGACATAACTTTTTCAGTTAATGTCTTGGCAAGATATAGCTCTGCTCCCACAAGGAGACATTGGAATGGAATCAAACACATATTGCGGTACCTAAAAGGGACTACCGATATGGGCTTATTTTATGGCAACAATTGCAGTCCCGATCTTGTTGGTTATGCTGATGCTGGGTATTTATCCGATCCACACAAGGCTCGGTCTCAAACAGGTTATGTGTTTACCTGTGGAGGCACTACCATATCTTGGCGATCGACTAAGCAATCAATTGTGGCTACTTCATCTAATCATGCTGAGATAATTGCTATTCATGAAGCAAGTCGAGAGTGTGTGTGGTTGAGGTCTATAATACATCTTATTCGAGACAAATGTGGTTTGAAATGTGACAAACTACCCACAATTTTGTATGAAGATAATGCAGCATGCATAGCTCAATTGAAAAGAGGATTCATAAAAGGGGATAGGACAAAGCACATTTCACCAAAGTTATTTTCACACATGATCTTCAAAAGAATGGTGATATCAATGTGCAACAGATTCGTTCAAGTGATAATATGGCTGATTTGTTCACAAAATCTCTACCAACGTCAACCTTCAAGAAGCTAGTGTACAAGATCTGGATGCAAATGCTCAAGGATGTGAATTGATGCTCTCATCAGGGGGAGTTAATGCGCGTTGCACTCTTTTTCCCTTACAAGGTTTTGTCCCACTGGATTTTCCTTGCAAGATTTTTAACGAGGCAACCAATAGGCGCATTTCTAAACATGTGTACTCTTTTTCCTTTTCTAGAATTTTTTTTCCATTGGGTTTTCTTTTAGTTAAGGTTTTAACGAGGCATATTATCTGTTGAATAGACATTCAGGGGGAGTCTTATAAATAGAATCCTATTTATGGTGAATGTCCATATTTAGAGAGATTCTAGGATTTATTACTTGGTGGCTAAGTCACCATCTCCCTATAAATAGAGGGTTCTATTCCATTGTAATTCATCCCAAAAAATTCAATAAGAATTTCCCCTCTCTCTTTCTGTGCAATATTGTTCTTCTTCTTTTATTGTTTCATAACATTTTAATAATTTTTAGTCCAACAAAATATGAATTTACAAACTACTTTAGTAAAATGTAGGTGCGGTTTGATATTTCACATAAAGATAAGTAGCAGTTGAAATTATAACTACCTGTTTATCCTCGAAGAGCTCCTGAGCTTGGGAGTTCTGTTAGTTTTGAGGTCCGAATGCGTTTGACAATGTCCTCCTCAGCTCTTCCTCTTCCTTTCTCGTCCTCAACTTTCTCCCAATCCCCAGCTTCTTTAACCTTAACCCATCACCCAAACTTCTGTTCTCTACTCCACGGCAACACTCTCACCGACGAACAACAATGCACTGTAAAAAACGAGTCCAAACCCAGAACAATTCGTTACCGTTTAGGCGAACTTTGCAGACAAGGCCAACCCCATCTCGCACGCCAACTGTTCGACACAATTCCTCAACCGAGTACTGTCCTATGGAACACAATTATCATTGGTTTTATCTGTAACAACATGTCCCATGAAGCCATTTCATTCTATTCCCGATTGAAACATGTGGGTTCATCGACATGTGATCAGTATACTTATTCTTCTGTTCTCAAAGCTTGCGCTGAGACGAAACAGATTCTTGTAGGTAAAGCCGTGCACTGCCACATTCTTCGCTCGGGTATTCACCCTAGTAGGATTGTGTGTAATTCTTTGTTGAATATGTACTCCACTTGTCTCGGATTCGAAAATGGTTCTCATTGTGATTTAGTTGAAAGAGTGTTTAGAACTATGCGTAAAAGAAATGTTGTTGCTTGGAATACCATATTTTCGTGGTATGTTAAAAGGAAGAGGTTTTCAGAAGCAGTTAGGTGTTTTGTTATGATGATGAGAATAGGCATTAAGCCGACTGTTGTTAGTTTTGTTAATATTTTTCCAGCTGTCTCTGAAATAGGGGATGTTAGAGTCGCTGATGTTCTTTATGGTTCGCTTGTGAAATTGGGTAATCAATACGTAAATGACTTGTTTGTTGTTAGTGCTGCGATTGTTATGTATGCTGATCTTGGTTGCATTGATTTGGCGAGCAGAATATTTGAGAATAGTTTTGAAAGAAATACAGAGATTTGGAACTCTATGATTAGCGGGTACATTCAGAACAATTTTCCTTTTAAAGCACTTGATCTCTTTCTTGGAGCTGTAGAAGCAGAGGATGGTGTTCCTATTGATGATGTGACATTTGTATCCGCTCTTACGGCAACTTCACAGTTGCAGCATTTGGAGTTTGCTCAACAGCTACATGCATGTCTGATAAAGAAATGCATGGATTCACAGGTTATTTTGCTAAATGCTATGGTTGCCACATATTCTAGGTGTAACCGTGTTGGTGATTCCTTTAAAGTTTTTAGTGGAATGGAGGAAAGAGATATAGTGTCGTGGAACACCATGGTGTCTGCTTTGGTACAAAATGGACTTGACGATGAGGCTTTGATGCTAGTATATGAGATGCAAAAGCTGGGGGTTGCAATTGATGCTATAACAATTACTATTCTGCTTTCTGCGGCATCAAATCTCAGGGACAGGAAAATAGGTAAACAGACCCATGCTTATCTTCTGAGGCACAATATTCAATTTGAAGGGATGGAAAGTTATCTGATAGACATGTATGCCAAATCTAGCATGATTAGAGAAGCACAAGCAATATTTCAGTCAAACTGCACAAATTATAAAGATCAGGCCACATGGAATGCTATGATTGCTGGAAACACTCAAAATGGATTAATTGAACAATCCTTTGTGGTCTTCAAGGAGATGCTGGAGCAGAATGTGAAACCGAATGCTGTTACCTTAGCATCACTTCTCCCAGCATGCAGTCAGTCAGGAAGTATAGCAATAGGCAATCAGCTACATTGTTTTGCAATTCGCAATTTGTTTGAGAACAATGTTTATGTTGTCTCGGCTTTGGTAGACATGTATTCAAAATCTGGCAGCATTCATTATGCTGAAAGCATTTTTCTAAAATCCCCTGAGAAGAACTCTGTGACATACACGAATATGATTTTGGGATATGGCCAGCATGGGATGGGTAAAAAAGCTCTTGCGCTGTTCTACTCTTTGCGGGAGAATGGTTTAAAACCAGATGCTGTTACCTTTGTAGCAATCTTGTCTGCTTGCAGCTACACTGGATTGGTTGATGAAGGTCTTCAAATATTTGAGCTGATGGACGAAGAATACGGGATTCAGCCCTCAGCAGAGCACTATGCTTGTGTGGTTGACATGTTAGGAAGAGTTGGACGGTTGGATGAAGCTCATAATTTTGCTAAACAGTTGGGCGAAGAGGGTAATGTCTTGGGAATATGGGGATCACTCCTTGCTGCCTGCAGAGTCCATAGAAATTTTGAATTGGGGAAAATTGTTTCCAGTAAGCTGCTTGAATTAGAGGGGAGTGACAGAATATCTGGTTATCATGTTCTGCTTTCAAATATATATGCAGAGGAAGGAAACTGGCAGTCTGTCGATAACGTAAGAAGAGGAATGCGCAAAATGGGATTGTCAAAGGAGGTTGGATGTAGTTGGATTGGTACTTCTGGCTATCCAAGCTGTTTTGTGTCTAGAGATAGGAAGCATCCTCAGAGCGACATGATATATGATATGTTGGGTCATTTAACCATCAATATGAAGGATGTTGGTTATAAGCCTAACCTTGAACTAATAGAAGAGTGGATGTATGGGCTACAAGAATAAAAAGGTATTTTAGTTCATCCACTATGTACCTCTGTATTGAAGACCTTTGTGGACAGGATACTGTAGTTTATCAGCAACCAGCTTGGCCTTTGAGATTTGAGGTAATGAATTTTTCTTTAGTTCTTTGTTTAGTTTTTTCTTTTGAATAATGGCTTTTACATTACTGTACAAATTGTCAAAACTTGGAAATTCAGTTAGTGAAACATATATATGTTGCTTTATTAAGACAGATCAGTCAAGAAAATCCAGTCACCATTTTGGTAGTAAAGAAGGAGTACGTAATAGCAAAGAAAGGATCCAATCCAAGATTACAACTTCTTTCAAGCTATCAATTTGACTGAAGCACATTTAAATTAGGTGCCCGGTTACTTTCTTTTGCATAACCTATGCTTGTTTTGCAGTTGTGCTTTAGAATATTGTTAAGATGGATAGTTTTTGATATAGAATGCTCTGAGTAGTTGATTAAAGGATCAAAAAGAGTTGTAATGTTGGAATCTGATCATCTTTGCAAGTTCATGGGCGTTATTACTACGGATCCAAATGGCTGTGATAACCGCTCGCTAATGTTGGTCCAGATAACGATACTTAGTGAATATCAATGGAGTTGGCATAAATGGAGCTTTTCATTTGTGAAGCTGCAATAAACTCTATAGATAAGATAAATCTCTGAAAATATCTTTATTTGACGGTTGACTTAAGACACTGGCAAACAAAAGATTTCTATATTAGGTCCAGTTCTAGAATTAGTAAGGGGTTTTGTTGGCCAAATATGCTTATAGACTATCTCAATCAATGAGGTTATGAGTCCATATTATTTTTATTTGCCTTATTAGGTTCTTCAACATGGTTGCCTACGAGCTGCTTGTGGCAACTTAAAGTTAATTATTCTTCTTCAGTTGCCAGAAGTGACAAAGGGCATCATCTCTTGAAGTTTTCTCCTTCCACAAAAGATAAATTATGTGGAGATCAGTTGTACAGCAATGTGATTCACTAAAGCAAATGCATGAGTTTGTTCTGCATATGTTGATCTTACCTGCTCATTTACAAGTTGAGGAAGGTCTTACTAACTTCATTTTTGCTGCATGTCTGATTAGATATTGTTAATCAGACTAGCTAAATAGGACACAATGGAAGTAAAAGATCCATATAGGTGATATCTACTAGTTGGGAATAGGTTTTGGACTTGCTAGAGATCTTCTACTATTATTGTTATTATTAATACTGTTTTATACACACACACACACACACACACACACACACACACACACACACACACATATATATATATATATATATATATATATATATATATATATATATGTATATATGTATATATATATATATATATGTATATATGTATATATGTATGTATAACTTATTTTTCGCTTTTATTTTATTTGGTATAATGATGACATGAGTTGAGCTTAAATGGAGAAGTGAGGATTCATATAGCCGACCCCAACTTGTTTGGTACTGAGGCATAGTTGTTGTTGTCTGATCATTTCTTTTTTAAATCTAGGGTGCTCTTGAGAGTTTTCTGGAAGATAATACAGATGCTCAACTTGCAGATTGATCAACTGTTCCTTTGATGTGCTTTTCAGGTTAATTGTTGAGACATTTGAAGATGAGTTCTAATGGCATGCTGTGCTTAAGCTTCACATTATAAGATGATTGGAAGCGCTTTCAGGGTACCATGTTGAGTCTTATCCTGCGCATAAGAAGATTGTTGATCCATCTTGCTACTGCGCATCTGACGCTAATCTGGTGACGTAGGTATGTTGGTTTATGGATGGTATGTTTGATGTTTCCAACTATAGGGACACTGGCGGCTCATCAAGAGGAAAATTTTCATTTCTTACTAGATTTTCAGAAGAATGAAATGACGGGATCGTCCTGGTGAGGAATCTCACTAGGCAATTAATGACTGAAGAAGAGCCGATCAAATTGGTGGTTATAATTTTAAGCAGTAAATTTGTTGTAAGGCCATTTGCTGGCATATTCAGTTATTTTCTGATGAATAAGCTTAGAAGAAGAAATTTACAGAAAAATAATTCTTTGTACAATATGCACAACAATTTGAAATATTGTCAAAACCTAGAGGCAATGTCTTCTCTTGAGCTGACACCAGGCGCAAACAAGGGATTGTCAGCTGATGATAGAAGTTGTTCCCATAAAGGGCAGCTGTCAATGATATATTTGCTCTGTAACTTGCTGACGGTGGAGTAGCCATGATATTACTAGGACTGAGAAGGTGTCATACAAACCTTGTCCTCAATATTCTTTTATGTCAACTATTGAGTTGTTGCCAGCATGAGTCCTACAATTGGACCTTTCACCTCCTATTTGCTATGGTACCAATAAGGTTCATTCATATTTTTCAAGTCCATGAATTTATTCTTTTGCTGATCAAGGGATAACATATTTTATTTAGGTTGCAAGAGAACATAACATGTGGATTTGGAAGATGACATGTAGCGGAGTGTTCCTCAATCTATGACAACGTGAACGCGAAGGCCTTCGTCAGGTTAGTCTTTTCATGCTGGTAATATACTTTTCATAGTTTAATGTCTTACTCATGTTTCGTCTCTTCTTTTTTTCGTTAGTCTTTGATGAGATCGATGATACTGTAAGCTTATGTGAGCTTGTATCTATCTGCTTACTGCTGGGCAATACAGTAATAGTTTTTACTTTCAAGTCTTTCAGGTTCCTTTTGTATCTCGGGTTTGGTACTTGAATCGCAGCTCAGTGAGGATGATCCTATGGCTGTGGCAGAGGGGTCACTAGCACTGGTCAAGAGCAAGATTTCGATGCTGTTTGGAGGGGAGAGCCGGTTCACGAATTTTTTGGTGGAAGCAGATCTCCTGATGGACTTTCTGCGGAGGAATAAAAGGATATCTGTTGGCATACATTCATCTTGGTTCTTTTGAATGCTCTAGTACCACCTGATCGGTCTAATTGTCACCTTTGATCTTCACCCTTGCATTGTCTTGTTGTGCAATGCAACAACCTTTACTAACAAGAAACCACCAGATATCCCAGAAGTTCACCTTCCAGAGGAGCCAAAGCCTGCCTTGAGATCCCTTCTGCTCTGCGGATTGAATTAACCATGCTCTTACAGTGTTGCATGAAATTGCATCTGGGAGAGATCTGAAGAAGTTCCTCGCCGTCATTGCTGATCTATGGGTCTTCTCAGTTGTGAGCAATTGCTGCAACTTCTTGACACTGTTTTACATATGTCAGTGCAATTTTTCTGTGATCTTATGTTCCTTTTGTATTTGCTATATCTTCTTAACTGATACACTTTTTCATGGTCTTCCTCCTAGTGAACCCGCATATGTAGTCATTCATACAGTTCCTTTTTTCACAAGTATGACGATAAAGTGGATCCATTCGCTGAGAAAGCAGTGCAGGAAATCAAGAGAATATATGCTGTCTTTGATGCCAAGGTTTTGAGCAAAACTCCCAAAGGACCATTACAAGATAAAAAGAGGGCATAGATGTGTTGAGCGGGAGATTTAGGTAGGTGTGTTTTACGCATGAACCTGTGTTATTTTTAATAAGAGGACTGTGAATTCATGAACGCCTATCCTAGTAGTGCTAATTCTGACTCACTGTAATGGTAGTAGTGTTAGCAGTATCAATTCATACCTGTTGGATGTTTGAAAGGTTTAGTATGGCAGTAATTAGTCCAGTGTTTGAGACTTGAGATCAGGGAATTAGAATTCTGAAATCTGTACATTTTCTTTAGTTCGAAGATGCTTAATCACTGCAGTTTTGTTGCTGAATCCCATAAATGCTTGTAGTGATTCACTAGCTTAAACATGATTTAAATAGGAAATTTGACTTCAAAATTAGTAGTTGTTTGATTTAATGAATCTGAATTGTTCATTTGTTACAAAATTTGTTAAGCCTGGTTTTGAAATAAGTTCAGCATTTGAAACCCAACTGAGGCCCAGCTGTGGTTGGGCCCGTCTTTGAACTAATGGAATGCAACAAACCAGCTGCCAAGCGAACGAAAATGGGCCAGTTCTTAAGGGCCCAAAATATTGAGCGGTTTTCAGCTAAGGCCCAACGTGAGGCAGCTTCCTATAAAAGCTGGCTGAAGTTTCCTCAGGCCTGGGCCAAATTTTCAAGGCCCAAAATGCTGGAGGCTGGAATTCCTTTAAGATCATTAGGATTAATTTTGTAACATAAATTCGGGTTTTCAAGTTAGGTAGCGGGCTCAAACTAAGAGGTTTTTCCTTTTGTTTGAATCCGGACTTGAACTTGAGACCCGGATTTTATAATTAACTAAGGCTCTTTAGAGACAAAATTAAATAGAATGAAAGTTGTCTTACTTGTCTGTTTTTGCAACTTTGTTGCCTTTTCAAGGGTCAACTTTGGGTTAGAATGAAAGTTGTCTAGATTAGTCTATAGGCCTTGTATCATTGCATTTGTTAGCTGAAGTTTCTCAACATATTAAGATAACAGAAGACTCTATCTGCTTATGCTTGCCTGGGATACCAGAATGGTAAGATACCTTTCTGGGTAAATTTTGTTGGTCCACCTGCTAGGGCTCTTGGTTTTAACTCTGCATATATCAGTATAATGCAGAGCAGTAATGCCCTCATAAACTCCGCAGCTTTCTTCTGCTTCACGGTCCCTGTTGACCGTTATTTATTTGCAGCCCAAGCTTCATTTTTGCCGTTTCATTGGGTGGAACTTCTCAGTCTACTCATTTCTATTTTTCTTTTTTCTTTTCCTTCTTTCTAAGCTTTTGTTTATTCTGAAAGTGATGTGCAGTGTTTACTGATATAAGTAGCTTGTTTGACAAAAAAGTTCATCAGGACAATGCTATGCCATTTTGCTTGCTTATGGTTCTCCTCCATTACATAGGTTGTTGCGACAAACAACTCGAAGTGATAGATTCATCTACAAACAACTTGGAGTAGAGGGGCACCGGTGGCAATTCCTGGTGCTGAATATTAGGATTAGAGATTAATTAGTGTCTAACCATTTTACATAATTCATGGTTAAGTATTACTTTTTCCCATTATTTAACACCTCTAACTAACCAAATGCTGCATTAGCTATGCGATTATCTTTTTCTTATATGATCAATGTGGATGATGATAGCTGTGTAGCAGGATGAATTCAATAATAAAGAACACTGAAGAAATAATGGACAAAAGTAATGAGAAATGCAATAATAAAGAACACTGAAGAAATAATGGACACAATGTATAAAAGGGTGATTGAGAGCCTTTAAGTGAGAAGAAAGTTTGATTTCCAGAAGTTGGATGCTGCTGAAGATGGTCTTGATTCCCTTTTATAGTGGTCAGAAGTAGTTGGAGAAGAGGGTGGATACCAAATATATTGAGGCCGTGGTGCGTCATTGTTTTTGAGGTTTGATTTAGCCTAGCTAGATGATGCGTAAGCCATTACTACTGATGAGTCGAGCTACGTTTGCAAGTTGGCTGAGTTGGAATTATTTATGGGTTAACTCGTGCTAGCTAGTTAGACTTGCTCAGTCGGAATCTAGCGCACAAAAGATGATGGAAGGAATTTGGCCACTACAATCATCTAAATGTTGCATTAGTTAGTTATACTTATACAAGATGCTCTCTCCGGCATGAGCGAACCCTTAGGAACTGGTTAAGAATGGGCGGCACTATTCTTATTCTCTCTAATCAAACACTATGTTACTTTATATTGAATCTAAACAAGGATTATTTTTCCTAATTTCTCCCACCAGACCGACAAGCTGCACTATGTAAGAATATTGCTTGCAATGCTTGTGTTTTATTCCCCGCGTTTCACCTTCAATATCTAATATGACTTCATGCGAAAATTAAAAGCGTATTTGATATTTTATTGTCCATTAAAAGTGGTGGATTACATGTAAACATTTTTTTCCTTACATAAGAAGGTAGAGAAAAAGTTGATAGAGAAGATTACAAGTGTCGCACTTCAATTGTTATACATATTATATGCTTATATATTTCTTTATGAAAAATGAAGATAATTTTTAGATATTCAACTTGAAATAGATGGAGTAGTTTGAAAGTAGATTGTAGCAAAAGGAGGAATTTTTTTTCTTGCAAAACGTTATAAATAACATAAAATCCTAAATATTGCTAACACTACTAATCTTGAGTTTCAATCACAAATTTGTTTCTCAATGTACTCGTAGCAACGACAAAAATATTGGCCACCAATAGCTACATAATCGAATTGAAAAGTATCAGTCGCCTTTTACAAGTTTAAACTAAGAACGTGATAGATTAGCATCCTCTAATAGTAACAAACTTCCATTAAAGTACACAATCATCATTTTATCAGAAAGGTGCCAAAATATTAATTATTTAGAACAAGAAAATCTCATACTTTATGTTACATGAACTCGTTTACAAGTAGGTATGAGATGCATTGTGTGTACTCTTTGGTAAGAGTAAGCACAATTTTTCGCTAATTTTTAAAGAATTAACGCGACCAATACAAGTGACAAATTATGTATACAAAGTATCAAATTGCTGCTTTAAATGAACATTTTCTTGGTCTACAAGATAAATTACATATGCGGCAACAATCCATAGTGCTATCCAATTATTCCTTCATTCCAATTTATGTGATATAGTTACATTAACACATAATTTAAGAACAGAAATAATTTTAAAAAATATATATATGGTCTTAAACGTGTCGTAGCATATGTTCGGTTATGGAACTTTTAACACGTGTGACCTTAAACATGATATTTTTATATTTGTGTGGTTGTAAAAAAAAATTCATAAGATAAAATGAGAAGTCTAAAATTAATTGTTTCTAAATATAAAAATATACTATTATTTTTTTAAAAGAAGAATAATCAAATAAAAAGTTAATTGATTGTTTCAATTTTTCTTTTTAGTATAACTATTTCGTATACGAAAAAGGGCCAAATACCCCCCTGGACTTTACGATAAGGTCTATATATAACCCTGGTTAAAAGTTTAGCCCATCACCAACCTTGCCGTTACACTATTGGCCTAGATACCCCATTTGTTTTAAATGGTTGCCACAGTGGATAAGTTATCCACTCAAAATATTACACGTGAAAATTAATATACACACAAACATTTTATTTTAATGCCCATCCCTACCCATTAACCCTACCCGTTACCCGACCTGTAAGTTTGTACCCGTCTCTTAATTAACCCTACCCTTTTCTTCTCAATCTCAACAAGGAACTCACAGAGCTGGTGCTAATTCCGGTGCAAATCTGGACAACCAAGTAAGGGTTAGTGTTCCCATCATCTTTCACCATTCAATTCCCAAAATATGAGCCAGGGATTTTCGAGTTCATCATATGATTCGAGGAGGAAATGCTGTTTTGGAGTTGCTGCTAGCCAATTCACTGATTGGACTCCAAATAATGCTGGCAGATGATTTAACAAGTGTTCAATGCCTAAGGTAAATTTTATAAGAATCGTTTGTATATTTTTGTTTAGGTAAATAATGCCGGCAGACAAAAATTATCGATAATTTTATTGTAATTGTTGCGCAGGGACAGAAATGTAAGTTTTGGGAATGGGTAGATGATGAACTTACTCTTAGAGTTACAACACTGATCAGTAACTTAAAGAATGAAAATGAAGCTCTTAGACGAGAAAGGAATCTTCTGGTGATGAAGGTTGTCGAGATTGAAAGCGTCTTAGCAGGGGATGTTGCAAAAATTGAAGATTTCAAGGAATTAGATAATGTTAAAGGAGAAGATGATGTTTCTAAGGAAAAAATTGATGGAGGTTTAGTGTTTGTGAAGGAAAGTAGTCCGAAAAAATGGAATATCATTGGTATGGTATGGTGTTGCTTCGTTGAGTTTATGTGTGCTTGGATGATGAAATAGCTAACTTAAGCTCAACCAAAGTTTAGGTGTATTTGACATATTTAAGTGATTATGTAGCCGATGTTCAAACAAGATTTATGTATAATTGACATGGTTAAGGTTTAATTTATGTTTTATGTTTTGGAATGAAATTTATGTTTTGGAATGAAGTTTAAGTGATTATGTAACCTATGTTCAAACATGTATAACTTATTTTCAAACATGTATAAGTTTAACCGGCTTCTCTTTTTCCTTCGGTTCTGGTAGACTATCCCTCCTTTTGATATAGGGATATTTGATTGCCTTCACTTCTATTCCCACTTCCCTTGTAGTCACTATATATACCTTGTTCTGGTGTGTGTATTCAACTGTTCATGTGTTGGTAAGGAGTAAATTTTGAAATGTTTTCTGCAAGCTGCATTTTACATTGTAAAAGGCCCTTTGACTTTCATAAGGACTAAACTTTTGAAAGGAATTTCTAAAAGGTGAAATGTAAAATGTAAAAAGCTCTTTGATTTTCAAATGAAAACATCTAACCATTTACAGACAAGAAGATTGGTTACCACTGTTCAACCAGATCCAACAAGCAGCAGAATACAACATGGAACATTAACACTGAAACTTCTTGTCTGTAAATAACACTGAAACATTAACAAGCAGTAGAATACCACTGGTAATAACATGGAACATTACACTGAAATTGAACAACTGTTTTGCAGAATTCAACAAGCAGCAGAATACAAAACAGGGCACATAGGCCTCAACAAGCAGCAGAAACTTAACCAACCCCATAACAGCCTTAGCAAAAACTTAACAGCAGAAACTTAACAGCTGTTTTGCAGAATACACAACTAACTAAACTTAACCAATACCATGCTTAACCATCAGAAACTTAACCAACCCCAAAAAATGGTTAACTGTTGTTTGTTAACTAACTAAACATAATTGTTTAATAACCAATCACAACAAAAAACATAACAATTGTCTTCAAAGAAGATCTTCATCATCAAGTGCAACTCGTTTGCCTTTGCCCTTTGTTGCCATCATCTTGATATTTCTCTTTCTTGCCTCAAGTTGGACTTGGCTTGATGAGATTGCAGCTTTTCCCTTCCATGTCAGCTTAGTTGGAGAATAAGGATGATTGGTAGGTGTTGAAGCCCCAGTGTGATCTCCAACAAACTTAATTTTCCTTACACCAGTAGTAGGTCCTCTTAGGTAACCCCTCTCAATCCTTGATTGTGTTTCTGAAACAATCATTGGCCTAAGTGGAGGATCTTCTTCATTGTCAACTTCCGGACCATATGGTGTAAGCTCTTGGGTGGCAGCAAATGGTCCAACATCAGCATTGCAGCTTGCAGCTTGGGTGGCAGCAAATGGTCCAACATCTTCATTGTCACTCTCCATTGCAGCATCTTCTTGAGCTGCAGCAGCCTTAGGCTATTAACAAGTAAAAAAAAATCAAGTCAATTTAAGTAGTATTGTTAATCAATCAAACAATATGAAAAAATATTACCTTGTAACAACCCCTTGCATTGTGGTTTGGCTCACCACAATTACTACATGTCATTTGTGTCCCCTTCCTTGATTGACTCCACTGCCCTATCATTTTTCTTGCCTCATCTGGTTTCCTATTTCTTTTCACTTTGGGTCTGCCAACTTGCTTCACAGTATCAGGAGGTAACATAGCTTATGAAGGTTCAACTTTCCAGAATTGCCGACCCCTAACAGGCTGAAGCTTTTCCTTATATGTTAGCAAGTATGCTTCTTTACTATACCACTAATGGATTCACCATCAGGCTCTACTCTCTTATGCATCATTGCCTTTATTGCATGAGGGCAAGGAATGCCAGATAAATTCCATAACCTACATGTACACCTTCTCTGTTGTAGATTGATAGTGTGTCTATCAATTCCTTCAGGCACTTCATATCCCCAATCTCCATTGAACATGACTTTACAGTCATGTGATATTCCCCTCCAATCACTATACAACTTCAAGCAAGCTGGACTATATTCTGCATTCCAACTTCTCACCTTAGCCTCATTGTCTCCTAACAACACCATCACTTTCACTCTTATGTCCTCCAACATTTTGATAATTGGTTTTCATCTAGCCTTAAGAATCCATGCATTAAATGACTCAGTGAAGTTGTTATCAACCATCATATTCTTATTTCACCATCATAACAACTTTCTCATTTCACCACTTAGTTTTTTGCACCAATTGATCTCAATATGACTCACACAGTACCTGTGGTTAGCCTCAGGAAGTACTGTGCTAACAGCATCCAACAAGCCCTGTGAAATGAATCAAAAACAGAAAATGAAAGAAATATTAGACTATTAGTGCAAACCATCATATACTTTAAAATATATAATGAAAGAAAATCAGAACTAATTACCTTTTGCATATCTGATATGAATGTGATTCCTGCACCAGTTTTAAGCTCCAAAGACAACTTCAACAGCTCCATGAACCAACTCCAAGTCCTGCTTGTTTCCTTGTCCACCACAGCCCATGCTAGTGGGTAGAAATGATTCATGGAATCTTGTCCTAATGCAACCAATAGCTAACCCTTGGTTCTACCCTTTAAGAATGTACCATCTACTCCAATTAATGGTCTCAAACCATTTTTCCAGCCTTGCTTCAAAGCATTAAAGCATAAGTACATTCTCAAAAAATTTCTCTTACCTTCTGCTAGTGCATCTTTGGAGATATTTATGACTACATCACTTCCCGGATTAGACAATCTAAGTTCTTGGCAGTATGCCTCAAGTTCGTTGTAGTCATCTATAAAACTACTCTCTAGTTTCTGAAGAACCAAATTCATAGCCCTTTTCAATTTGGATCTACTCACATTCAACTTCAAATCATGTTCAAGCTCACCTCTCATATCTTTAATCATGTATTTAGGGTTATTTTGGACCTTACTCTTAAAATACTGAGCTAATGTGGCATAATCAGCTCTAGGATTCTTAAAGGCATCATCACATGTGTGTATATCCTTCCAAGTTTTAATCGTGAACCCACCAGTTTTCCCATCTTCAGAAATTAGACACCTAAAGGGACACCCTTCATGACAACCATACCTGGTTCTTACTTTTTCACATTTAATCAATTTCAAAGCTTTTTTTTTAGCTAAAGCATAGAAATTTACAGCCTTCCTGCCTTCATTCATGTCCTTAAATGACATACCTAGCTTCAACTCCTTATAGTTTTCCAACCTATCATCTACAACCCTCCTCCTTTCATTGCTAATACCCTCCATTTCATCAGAATCATACTCCCCACCATCTGAAGGTTCATATTCACCACCAGAACCAAGACTATGTTCACAATCTGTACCAACCTCAACATCTACATGATATGTTTCTGTATGGTCTATGATATGTGGAACAGAAACAGTGGACTCACTCTCATCAACATCAAAGAAATTTAAGACCTTGAATTTGTTACATAATAAGCTAAGAAGCGCCCTAATACTCTCATCACCTTCTACCAAATAGTACTTACCCGAAGGCCCAACCACTAACAATTGTTTAACTTTGACAAACCCTAATCTAGAGGTAAACTCATCACATATATCCTTATAACTCAATAAGTCAGGATCAAATGATGTCCATAAGTGCACAAGTTCCTCACAGTATACTAGGTCAGGTGAAAATACCCATTTACCCCCATAGTTGAACACAATATCAACCTCTGAAACCATCATTCGAAAGCTAGAAAAAAAAGGAAACAATAAAAACAACGGTAAAGGGACCACATCAGAAAATATAGGTATAAAGATAAAGCATGGAATAAAAAAACTTAAAAGCAAATCTGATTTCGGGACAGCCGACCCACCAAATCCCAACAAAAAATATGAGAATAAACAAAAATCCAGCAATAAGCAAACATATACGGATACAGATAAAGCATGGAATAAAAAAACACTAAAAGACAAATATGATTTCGGGACAACCAAAGACCCACCAAATCCCCAACAAAAACACGAGAATAAACAAAATTCAGCAATAAACATACATATATAATGCTTTTAAACAGACAAACATTAACTCGACTAAATCACATGTTAAAACGATTTTAATCCTAAAACCTAGACCCAACAGTAAAATGTAACAAAAAAGAAGCTAAAGAAACTTACCTTGACAAGAAGATCTTCTTTAATATGGGGGTATGGAGTTTTAGCAGCACCCACCTTCGATTGGATTCCTTCGCATTAGCAGAAAGATGGTGGAATTTTGGGCGGAGTCGATGATAATGGGGTATGGACTTTGGTAATTGTTTTTACCCAAGCGGACGAAATGAGTAGGGTTAATTAAGAGACGGGTACAAACTTACGGGTAGGGTTAATGGGTAGGGATGGGCATTAAAATAAAATGTTTGTGTGTATATTAATTTCCACGTGTAATATTTTGAGTGGATAACTTATCCACTGTGGCAACCGTTTAAAACAAAGGGGGTATCTAGGCCAATAGTGTAACGGCAAGGTTGGGGATGGACCAAACTTTAACGAGAGTTATATATAGACCTTATCGTAAAGTCCAGGGAGGTATTTGGCCCTTTTCCGTTTGGTATATATCCCGAACCTACTTATGGATTAGTTTTGATTCGTTCGAGGTAAGTATGACTTATTTTATTTGTTTATTGAAGTTGCTTTGTCGCTCAATCTTTTGCAATAATTACTTAAAGTCCTAGTGTCCTACCTATTAAAATTGCCTTCAACTACTTATAATGCATTCTATTCTATTCTACACTCCGATAATATAATGTCTTCAATAAGGTTAATTTATAGTCGTTCCATTAATAAACTCTCTAGCTTCTCAACTCTCATCAATTGTTCACCAAAAGAAACACTTGACACTAAAACATGCATTGAGCTTATAAAGACATGCAAATCCATAACAAAACTCAAACAAATCCATGCCCAAATCATCATCCTCAATTTCCACAAACACATTGGCATTTTACACAAGCTTTTAGCTTTTACAACTGATACACTCCAAGGAGGAGACTTTAATTACGCCAAGAAAATTTTTAGTTGTTGTGAGAACCGCACATTGTTCATTTACAATGTAATGATTAAAGGATACGTGAAAAAGGGTCAATTTAAAGAACCCCTTTTCTTGTTTGATGAATTGAGAATAGGTGGCTTGTCTCCTGATAATTTCACGTACCCATTTGTGTTTAAAGCTATTGGCGAGTTGAAAATGGTGAAGGGAGGTGAAAAGCTTCATGGGTATGTGTTGAAATCTGGTGTTTGGTTTGATAACTATGTTGGTAATTCTGTTATGGATATGTATGGTATGTTTGGTTGTGTGACGAGTTTGAACAAAGTGTTTGATGAAATGACTCACAGAGATTCGGTCGCATGGAATATATTGATTTCTGGATTTGTGAGATGTGGTAGGTATCAGGATGCTGTTGGGGTTTACATGAAGATGCGGGAGGAAAGTGGTGTTAAGCCTGACGAAGCCACAGTTGTGAGTACTTTGTCAGCTTGCACTGCATTGAAAAGCTTGGAACTTGGTAAAGAAATTCATCGATACGTTGTTGAAGAGCTTGGGTTTAGCGTTATTATTGGGAATGCATTAGTGGACATGTATTCTAAGTGTGGATTCTTGATGGTGGCTAGGCAGATTTTTGATGATATGCCAACGAAAAATGTTATATGTTGGACTAGTATGGTTTCTGGGTATGTTAACCGCGGTCAATTGGATGAAGCTAGAAAACTTTTTGAGAGGAGTCCGGTAAGGGATCTAGTTCTGTGGACAACTATGATTAATGGCTATGTGCAATTCAATCGTGTTGATGATGCAATGGATTTGTTTCGTTCGATGCAAATGCAAAGAATTAAACCTGATAAATACACATTGGTTGCCCTTCTCACTGGTTGTGCTCAGATAGGAGCCTTGGAACAAGGGGAATGGATTCGTGATTACATGAAAGAAAACAAAATAGCTATCACTGCAGTTGTTGGTACGGCCCTTATAGAGATGTATGCAAAGTGTGGTTGCATAGAAAAATCAATGGAAATATTTGATGGATTAAAAGAGAAAGATACTGCATCATGGACTTCAATTATTTGTGCGTTAGCCATGAGCGGGAACACGAGGAAAGCACTGGAACTGTTCTCACAAATGGAACAAGCTGGATTTTGCCCCGATGATATCACTTTTATCGGAGTGTTGAGTGCATGCAGCCATGGGGGCTTGGTAGAGGAAGGCCGCAGGTATTTCCACTCAATGAGTAGGATTTATGGGATTCAGCCAAAGTTAGAACATTATGGTTGTCTGATTGACCTACTTGGTCGTGCTGGGCTCTTAAGAGAAGCTGAAGAAACGATATCTATGATACCGAAAAAAGACAATAAGATTATAATTCCAATATATGGGGCTTTGCTCAGTGCCTGCAGAATTTACGGAAGAGTTGATGTCGGTGAACGTGTGGCTAAACTGCTTATGGAGATTGAATCTTATGATTCTAGCACTCATACGCTTCTGGCAAACACCTATGCATCTGCTGGCAGATGGGAAGATGTATCAAAGGTCAGAGGAACTATGCGAGATTTAGGTGTTAAGAAGTCACCTGGGTGCAGTTCAATTGACGTCAATGCCAATGTGTATGAGTTCATTGTTGGGCATTAAGACCACCAAAGGCCTTTGTGGCACTAGTGTTCCACAGAAGTCATGGGTGATCATTGATCCGATGCTTCGGGCGAAACCAATTTCTAGGGTGTGACGGGCAGTGTGTGCAGGGTCCAGGTATATATTCACCGCGGCATACTGATCCGTGATTACTGTCGGTTCCAATTAGATGATTTGGAAGCGGTTTTAAAGGTACTGTACTGAGGCTCATCCTGCTATAAGAAACTCCGAGATCGATCTCGCAAGTCCTAGATAAAAAGATGGCATACCTTTGGTAGTAGTGGTTGGTATAAGGGTGAATACATCTGCATTTCAAGTATAATGACATCAAGATAAACAACTGTACGGATGCCAAAGGAGATGGATAGAAGTCGCAACGAGCTAAGATGGTTTCATGATGCACTGGATCCACAACCTTGCTGTGGGTGTGTTATCGAGAACCATGATGGACAATTTTGCAAGCCGGAGGATGGATTGAGGGCTAAAGGGAACGAGCTTCAGAGGCAAAACCATTTTGCCTTTTCTTGGCAATTTGAAATGAGAGAAATAGAAGATTGTTTCATAGATTCTTGATTAAAAGAAGACTGTTTTATCGGATATGAGTACTAAAATTCTTTTTTGTTTCATTTGAACCTTTAGTGTAAAGAGAAATGTAAACCTTTCCAGCTACTCGGTGAATTTGTACATATAACATTATTGTGTATACCTCTTCCAGCTTCTTGGTGACAAGTTTGAATCACTTTGCTGTGTTATTTTACTGAACTGGTTTTCATGTTGAGTATTCACCCAACTTATGACCTTTTTTCTTCTTTTGAAATATTCTTTCAAGTCAATGATGATTTGTTCTTCATCCATCAAGGAATAACAAGTTCGGGGTGCAAAAAGGAGCATAAGATATGGTTTTGGTGAATGAGATTTTATTGACAAGCTTCCCGAAATCTTGATCCAACAGAAGTCCAGTTTAGCTGATATCGTCTATGGTTAATCGATCATATCATTCCATAAACGAAATCTATTTCTATAGAGAGATCCTCTACATTTATAGATAGAATAGATACTCATGGATAGAGGGATATTTCGTTGATTCTTACTATTTAGCTGGTTTCTGAAGCTGTAGAGTGTCATTTAATCTTATAACTAAATGAGGATTGATCAATGTTTCACCGATGTTCTGTGTTGTTTCTTCGTGCAGGTATATGATGCACTCGCTGTATCCTCTTTACTACCTTGTGCATATGGCTGAGTACTGTAACAGTAAGGTGCAAACTACGGAAACAACCTTGTCTAACTTAAACTGTTACTCCCTCCGTTCACTTTTACTTGTCCACTATTGACTTTGTACACCTCTTAAGAAATAATAAATAAAGTGTAGAATTTACCATGATACCCATATTAATTAGTGTATAGTCTTAATGGATTTGAAGAATGATTTGGAATGAGTAATTAATGTTAAGGGTAAAAGAGGAAAAATAAATTATTTTTGATATGCGAAAAATAACAAGTAAAAATGAAAATTTATTTTTAGAATATTTAACAACTAAAAGTGAACGGAGGGAGTAGCTAATTTTCCAGTTTAACCCTTTCCAGCACCCCTTGCTTTACTCTCATAGTCTCATTCTATGAAGACTTGTATTAGAACCTGATACATATATCCTCTCAAACGCCTGAAGGAGGACATAAACAAATATTATAAAATTAAACATATGAAATTTTGTAAAAAGAAACATCTCAAAGACAAGTACATTTATATACAACAAAAACAACTAAGCCTCAATCTCAAGCCAAGTAAAGGTCAACTATGTGAATTGTCACCATCTATTTAGCTCATTTAGACTCGTCTCCCTACGTTAATAAATAAGTTAGGTTCGCAAAACCTAGAAGTTATCTGCATTTTCTATCGATATACAGAACCCCGTAAATATTGAAAAGACTCATAGCAAATGTTGGACTTATGTGAGCGTACCAACAAGTGCAAGGCATAAATTCAGCTAGATGGTATCGTCTAATTGTCTACCGGTAGGTTAGAGTAGACAAAAAACTTACTTAGACCACAAACGCCGGAAGATAGAGATTATAGTTGGGAACGTCTGTGTTACTCCTAACAGTAAAATTGTGTCTCCTCCGTTGAGCTGATTAGTTGCGATGCTTATGACATTCTTTGAATTTGATTTAGCATATGAATTATTTTATGTGAGGTTATACGATGAGAATATTAAGCAAACTCGCTAGCCCCTAGTTAGGGTGTGATAAACTTGGTATCAAAGTATTGATTTTCTTGTGAGTCATAGACTAATGTCTTAATGGGATCTTTAAAATGAATATGTTGAGCGCCATATCTATAGCCAGTGACTATGTGGAAGGATATTAGACTTTCTAATATACGTCATTTTAGGATTCTTTTAATGTCTATAAGTGTCTAGAGCCAAATAAGCGTATTAACTAAAGATTGTGCTTATGCCATATGACAAGGACCAGATCCGTGGGCAGAGATGTCATGGACGGCTTTCCAGCCATGCCCCATGACCCCTTGGGCGCGCCTCGTGGCGTCCTAGCAAACCTTCCAATGCCTAGCGCCACGGACGGTCCCGTAGTCTTGGCCGCACCAAGTGACAAGAGCGCATGTGTCTCTGTCGCCCCACCGATATCCCTCGCCAGCGCCCAGCCGCAGGTAGATGCCAACAGCGCCGCGCGCAGATAACGCCACGCGCACAGACCGTGATGCCAAAGACAATGCTGCTGACAACGGACCTGTTTTTGCCTTGTAGAAAACTAAGTCCTTCTCATTGTAAATATAGAGTAGTTTTATTTCATATACTTCCATTATGTTTCTCTAGCTTAGTCAAGTCTAGTCTTGTAGCTTTGGTTTATTTTTTTAAGCATTATTAGGGGGGATCAAGCAATCAAACTTTCTAGCAAGCAAACAATTCTCTATACTGGTGTCTCTCCCACTCGACACTGTGTTGCTTTTCTGTAATAGATTCCATTAATGCAATCAAGCTTTCTTTCATTCTCAATTCTCATTTCAGTTCTCTCAATTGCTCTTGACATTGGTTTTTCCGTACGGCACTGACAATCTCGTCTAGCGTATGGAGGGGACCTCAGTTGGCGGACAGTAACTGCACTAACATCAGTTGCTTAGCCTTACGTCGCCCTTCTAAGGAATCTCAGGAAGGCGCCGCGTAACAGTTGGTATCAGAGCCTAGGCTCGCCATCGAACGAGGGAACGCATTGCCATTACCACCATTTCTGACCATGGTGAATCACGGGGACCGTATTGCGGCCCTTGAAGAGATGGTTGACGTATTACGGCCCATCGTGGATATGGTGCCTGAACTAAGAACCAGCCTAGTGCAAAGGTTGGACGACCTGGACAGCAGAGTGCACCTGGTCGAAGTTGACATAGAAAACATCAGTCATGACTCCGAGGGAGACCAGCAAACGGCAGCCACAGAGGCAGCTAAAATTTTTGGCAAATTCGAGGGACTCCAACAGGAGCGTGCCGAGGATTTAGCCTGCAGGGCACAAGAGGCAGACAGGGTGAATGCCATGCAACAAACTATTGACAACTTGACAGACCAGCTCAATGTTGTCAGTGCTACTTTACAGGGTCTGCTTCGAGGAGGTGGAAACCAAATCGGAGGCGCTTTGAACCCCGCTTCCGCGACACAAAAACTGAAAATTCCTGAGCCAAAGCCATATAGTGGAGCTAGGAATGCCAAGGAAGTGGAAAACTTCATCTTTGACATCGAACAATACTTCGATGTTGTTGGGGGCCTAGAAGAAGCTAAGAAGGTAGCAACTGCTGCTATGTATATTCAGGGTGACGCTAAACTCTGGTGGCGGGTAATGTACGAAGCCATCAGGGCCGGTGAAGATGCTCTTGAGACATGGGCGGAACTGAAGGTAGCCATACGCCTACAGTTCTTCCCCAAAACTGTTGAATACAATGCAAGGAGAAACCTACGGAAGCTCCGCCAAACCAAATCAGTGCGGGTCTACGTGCGGGAATTCTCCGTGCTCATGCTAAACATATGTGACATGGGGGACAAAGACAAGTTCTTCACCTTCCTGGAAGGGTTGAAACCTTATGCCCGTATGGAACTGCAAAGACAAAGGGTAGATACCCTACCCAAGGCGATCCAAGCAGTTGAATGCCTTGGGGACTATCAAGTGGAAGCTCGGAAGGATAGGCCTCAGCCGCCTGCTCGAGCGGGATCCAAAGGGGGCCAGTCTAGCAATGGTGGCCCTAGCAGAGGTGGGGGAGATCGGAGTGCAACCAAATCTAAGGCTCCCTCCACAGGCAGCAATAGTGCTGCATCAAACAACAATGACCGTGGGAGAAAGCCTCCTTCAGGATGCCTTCATTGTGGTGGACCACATTGGAATAATGAGTGCCCACATGCACAGATGAACGCCCGTCAGGCTTTTGATGATGGGACTTATGACGACTCAGATGATGCGGACCAGACTGNAGCCTCAACGTCAAGTGGAGAGCCTAAGTCTAGTTGTTGGAAAAGGTAGAGGTCGTGTCAAGGCTATCAACTCACCTCCTCATCCAGTGGGTGGAATAGCCAAAGAGGTACCGGTGAAGCTTGGCCCTTATGAAGGAAAATTCAACCTACGAGTGGTGATCATAGATGACTTCGAGTTGATAGTTGGGTTGGAATTCCTAAGGCAAACCAACACCATGCCCGTACCATATGCAGACATGCTACTGATGATGGGAACAAATGGGGCCAAGCCCTGCATTATCCCCTGCATGCCCATGAAGATGGCCGTTGAGAACATATCGTCCTTGCAGTTGAAGAAGGGGGTCAAAAGACATGAACCTACGTTCCTGGCAACCCTCTGTATTGAAGATATAAAATGATCATCGGGTCCCATTCCTGCACCCGTGAAGGAGCTACTACTGGAGTTTGAAGATGTCATGCCACAAGACATGCCAAAGCGACTACCGCATAGGCGCACTATGGACCACGAAATTGAGTTGGTGCCGAGCGCGAAGCCACCCGCCCAGGCGCCCTACAGAATGTCATAACCCGAACTCACCGAGCTTCGGAGATAATTGACGGAAATGCTAGATACAGGGATCATTGTGCCCTCCAAGTCCCCATACGGGTCCCCTGTTCTATTCCAAAAGAAACATGATGGCATCCTGCGACTCTGTGTGGATTATCGGGCTCTAAACAAAATCACCGTGAAGAACAAGTACCCTATTCCGCTAATGGCAGACTTGTTCGATAGACTGGGTGGTGCGACGGTGTTCACCAAGATAGACCTAAAGACGGGTTATTGGCAAGTTCGCATTGCAGAGGGTGATGAACAGCAGACGACCCGTGTGACAAGATATGGGTCGTACGACTTCCTGGTCATGCCGTTCGGCTTGACTAACGCCCCAGCTAAATTTTGCACTCTGATGAACCAAGTCTTCTGAGAGTACATTGACGAATTCGTGGTGGTCTACTTGGATGACATTGTGGTATATAGCCAAATATTGGAAGAACACCTAGTGCACTTGTGGAAGGTCCTAGCTCGATTACAGAAGCATGAACTATATGCGAAGCTATCCAAGTGCTCCTTTGCTCAAAAGCAAATTGACTTCCTCGGACATGTCATCGAGGAAGGGCGGATCATGATGTACCAACAAAAGATTCAGGCAATCACAGATTGGCCGCCGCCTAAGGATGTCCACGCCTTGAGGGCGTTCCTTGGCCTATG